TTAGCAAGAAGATGATAGGCTTCAAGTCTATGTAGCTTATTTCCGGCTTAAAACCCCTGGAAATAGCTTAAAATTCGATGATTCAATTACTTAATTTTTGTAATTAATTAGGCAATTCTATTCTTTATTCATAAAAAGTTAGAAATAAAATTTATAGGTACATCACGTTGTATTTTTCGTGTGAATATTCGGGCAGTAAGAGGGAGGGCAAAGAGATAATAAGAGGTAAAGCTTTTTATGAGAATTTTCTGAATCGAATTTGTGACTGTAGAAAAAGTACAGCAGTAGTAGTAGCAGTAAGTATTAAATGTACACAGAAAAGAGCGTAGTATCGAAGAATATAAAATATTTTTTATCGAGGTGGGGGTGATGGTTGGGCGGCTCGTCTTCTTTGACGATCAAATCTGAAATCTCGAGGTTTTTAAGCGCTTTTTCAACAGCTTTTTTAAACAGCTAAATTTTTTGATTATATCATGAAGTATAGTCTATTAATGCGTGTATTGTTTTTTAAATACCTCTTCTCCATTTCCTCCAGCAATCGGGGCGTATATCGAACGACAAGCCGCACAGTCCCAGCCGCCGATTTCAGTAGATCCACCGCTTTTTCGTGGCATTCCGTCTCGACGTTCTAAATTTTGTTGTTTGTAGTTAGTTGTATTTTGTAGTCTGGAGTTAATTAGAGTTATGTAATACTTACCACCCCATTGACAGCAATCAATTGATCTCCCCTCTTCAGCCCTCCTTGTCTCTCCGCCACTCCACCGGGGATTATTCTGAAAGTTTCGTAAATTTGTGGTGTGCCGTCATTAGTATTTTGATGGAAAACGATAGAACTAACCTTGAAATATAAATGGGTGAATTTTGCTCCTTTCCACCCATCACATTAAATCCCAGGCCGGCATCGGTTTTTGGGAGTTCCACGATACGAGGGTGCGAATGGCCTGAAATCATAGTATTGCTGGCGATTCTTTCTGTTTTCTTGGCGCTTGAAAACTACAAACTACACAATTTTTGCTCGATTTCTGGCTTTAATGGGCCTTGAAAAACCTACCCTGTGCAGCGGCAAATGCGGCAACGGTCGCTTTTGCGGTAGCGGAGGCTTTCACCTGAAAAGTTATTTTATGCGATTTCTAAAAAGACAATGTTACCTCTGGCGGTCCCTCAATATCAATGGTATCATGGAGATGTTGATAGACCTCTCGAACGGCTGAGAAGAATTCCGAACGAAGGACCTGTTGCAAAAAGCAGTTATATAACTAACGATAATTGCAGTTTTAGTAGTTTTGAAATAGTTAAAAATCCCTAAAGACCTTTTTCAAATGTTCCAATTTCGGTGTGGCCACTTCTCCAGTCGATTGTAGATGATCAATCAATTCCACAATACGTTGGATATCTAAAAATATAGTCACTTTTTTAACCTATTTTCAAGGCTTTTCGTAGCCACATTACCTAGAAATTAAAACTTTAAGAAAAAGCCTTACCTCTCTCGAGATTGATCCCATCATTTGCCATGTTTTCTCGATATAAACACGGCTTTTCTGGGTTGTTCGTGCAGCTAAATCGTCGTTTTAAGAGTCTATCGGCTACATACTACACCTATCCACACGCTGGTTATATGCTTTTCAGGAGAGGGGAAAAGGGAGAGGGGATTAGCCGTTGTAATGGCACCGGAAGCAGGGGTTTTGCACAAAAAGGGGTTAGAATCAACTTGCTAAAGTCAATAACGTAACATTTTAGTTTTATGTTGGTAAACTGACAAGCAACGGTCATAATTAGCTGGTTTTCAGAACGCCGAAATGATTATTATTCAAACTTTTGGGCTTTAAATGGTTTTAAAGATCCATTTTTTTTCTTTTTCGCATCAAAAATTACCCTCCCAGGTACAGATTGAACCGCTTGCGCCGTGGGAATCACGGGGAGAAGCCCCCTTTCATCTGCCGATGGTTGGCCCCCGGCGACACCCTGAAATGGCCTATAAAATGACACTGGAAGGGAGAGAGAGAGGGGAACAGTGATCAAGGGCATTAGCACCCAGTTAATGTATCACAATCGCACGTCTGCACGGCAGTTAGACGAACAATATACGAAAATAGTAAAAATGTGCCATAAAAATCTCGAAAAATCGGATTTTCAGCCAGATTTTTCAGAATTTGTTGGGTTGTATCAAATTTTTTAAGGTAGCAAGGTATCAATGATACCTTAAATAACGTCAATATGCAAACTGACATTCAGAAACCTGTTCCGAGTTGTGTATTTAGATGTGTAATGTACGGTGTAACCAGGTGTGAAAGGGATTTCGGGTCGATTTTCGTCAATTTTTCACGGCATCGAAAAATTTATAACGTTAGAGCGCATTGATGATACCTTAAATAGTATCAATCCACAAATTGCCTGCCAGTTAATCCGTTACGGCCTGCAATTAGGTGCATAACGTCCATTTAAGGCATTACCTGATGAAATATCGAGTGTAATGTACCGAGAATCCATTCCATCGTATCAGCGGTGCCTTTGAAATGGGTAATCAAATGCGAATAGCCGGTCCATCTCTATAAATGGTTGACAATGCACGGGTTCACACCTTTTTTGGGGACACTGTCTATTCCATTCTCTTTCTATCACTCTGAGGGGTTACGGTAGCCGACCTGGAACCTAAAAATTGGCCAAAATGAAGGAAATGGCGGATGCCCAGGGTGGCATCATGAATTTGGGATTTCAGAAGGGTCAGTTATTGATTTATTTCCCTGGAAAATACCAAATTTTGAAAAGATATCTATGCTTTTAAAGCGGTTTTTCACAGACTTTTCAAAAATTCTCGCTTTTTTAATTACAACCTTTTTTTAATCGGTGTTCTATTATTTGATTTGTAAAAATTGAAACTTTCCAGTGTTTAACAATATTGTTTCAAATTACCATTTATGGTAGTTTTCAGCCTTGTAAAATTATGGTTTTTTTATTACAAATATTAAACATAATTTCGGGATTTTAGGACGATTTTCAATTTTCTAAACAGACTTGAAGTTTCGAAAAATGCTTCTTCCCGGCCCCTGCTTTAAATTAGACTAAAAGATATTTAAAAACGAAATGGGGTATTTTGAACTGCTAAAAATAATTTTAATCTTTTAAAAATGTGCCAATTTTAAAACCAGCTTTAAAATTTGTTAAAATCCTTACAAACCCGGAATTTCCTCCTGAATTTTGATGTGGAAACAGGCATGTGCATCCGCTGCATGCATTCCTTTTTACGGTGGCTGGGTAATAAATTTATACAATTAGAGTGATAAGCAGAAGAGAACGAGAGCCCCTCGGAAATTTGGGACTTTCTATTTTTGACCTACCTTCCCAAGTAGCGGTCACTCTATAGCTAGCAAAAATCATGGCCGATCTTTATATGCGTGAGTTTTCATTAAAAACATTGAAAAATCGATAGAATATCTATTTAAATCTCTAAAATTCGTATTGAAAAGCGATCAAAGGCCTAAAAATATAAAATTACAAAAAAACCAAGCAAGTTTATCAATTTAAGCCTTAAAAATAGCATCAAAAAGCTATGGAAAGTCATAAGATATCGTTTTAAACCTCTAAAAACCGTATTAAAAAGTTATTAAGAGTATCAAAAAACGAAAACGGTTTAAAATTAAGAATTTAGATGACGAAACAGAACTACAAACCCGAAGTCGACTGGTGAAAAATGCTTTTCGAGAAGATCAGAATTGCATTATTTTGAGGGTACTTCTTATAAAATACAATTTAATGGCTATTAAATATACTTTTCTGATATTTCTATTTTTTAGGTAGATACCCATATCAACAGTCACAAAGGTGTCAACCCATTCGGATTCCATTTTGAGATGGATAAGAAGAGATATGTCTCAAGGAAGAAGCAGATTAGGAGGGAAAGTGAGTCTTTTTACGGCAAAAGGGCAGCTAGCAGAGGACATTGAGGATTTTAAATGCTTTTTTTGGTGTGGAATACTTAACTACCCAGCGTTCTATCAAATCTATACATTTTTAATGCCAATAAACTCCTCTATAAAAATAAAAGACAGAATTCCCAGTTAGAGATCACTCAATGGCTGTCCTGGCTGGCCTATTATCATCATAAATTCGGCATTCGACATCTTCTGCTGGTTGTATTGTTGACAGGATATGTATTCCTCGGCGGCATGCTCTTCAATAAATTGGAATCCAAGAATGAACTCGACGTGGGTTGTTTTACGGATTTTTAGGGTTAAAAGGGCTGTACTGACAGGCAAAGCACCTAAAAATTCCTCAAAAATCTTTCTGTACAATTTAGAAGTGAAATGCTTCTCGCAATCGCTTTACTGGCCTACAGAAAGCTAAAATGACTTTAAAAATGAATTTTATTCGGCGATTTCGGTCTTAATTACAAGCCGTAACCGGTTGTCTGGAAGCCAGCATTGCTGAAAAATAGCTGTAAAAATTTAATTTTGAAATTTAGTGTGATAAAACCATTCCTAATCGAATATCTGGTAGCCAGAATCCCTGAAATGAAGTAAAATTGCCAGTGGTAATCGATTAAGCGTCCAGTTTGGCTAAAAATTTAATTCCCAACGCCTAAATACTGTTCCCTCTACCGTACGCCTCCCATTTCAGGACCTAAAAGAGACTCTGGTTCTAATGCAAGGGATAATCCGTGAAATGAGTGTCGAGGCGATAAATGTGACACTTGTTGAGGTTGTCCAAAAACAGAATTACACTGTGGGGCAGGATAAAATGGGCAAGCTGATTAAGGTATCGCTTCACTATTAAAAATCATTATTTCATAATTTCTAGCGTTACTACAAAGAAATGTTAGAGGCTGAGGGGAGATTTCATGGCAGTGTATGGCATAAGGTAAGTTATCTTGCTTTAAAGGGGCTGCGAAGGCATGGATCTGGGTTATTCGCTCGATTATTCCGTTGCGTAATCGATTACGAAAGCTTTTTCGCAGTAGCCAGGTGGAACGTGCGCGTTGCGTGCCGCGGCGACGCAACTCTATAATCGCATCTTCGTTAGCTTTTAAAGGAACGAGAAACCACAAAATATATTTTTTGGCCCGCGACACGCGACGCACCAGCTAGCCATTTCATTGCGTAATCGATTTCGCCTTTTTTTGCGCTGCGAAAAAGCTTGTGATGCGTCGCGTGTCAGCGTATCCACAGCGAAAAATCCATATCTATCCCTTCCCTGCCTTTAAAAAAATCATAACTTCAATTTTCAGGCGGAAAACCTCGAACTGCATCTAATGTGGTACTTCTCATCGGCCACTTTCTATGCAATGACCCTTTTCACCACTATTGGATACGGTAGGTTTTAAAATTCTGTAGTTTTTCGCTTCTCCGACAAGTGGATGCCAGTTAACCAAATTTAACCAAAAATCTTTTTAAAAAACCAAAGTTAACGGTAACTAGCCATTTTTAACCAGGCGCCTCAGGAACCCCCAAAAAAGCCCCCCATAAAATCGTCCCTTTTGGCTGGGCTATAAAAATGGGTCATAAATCGCTAATCTGCTAGTTGTTGAGGGGGAGGGGGTGTTGAGAGCTATATTTGGGAGGAGAAAGAAGAGGAATGCTTTATCGCACGACCCGGCTTCTCCTTTGAAGATCTACGCCAAAAATGGAATGCAATCCGGGTAAATGGAATGTCGATCTATGGCCTAAAATGCGAAAAATAAAATAATTAAAAAAATTCTGATCCCAAAATGGGTTAGAGTGGATGGCAGTTAACCAAAAATCGCGCAGCAAAATTATTTCCCAAAGAACCGCGGCTAGATTGCCTTTAAAAACGCACAAAACCCCACAGGTTTATTCAGTTACGACATGAAACTCCCTATGAAAAACGGGTAGCTGAAAAAATCTAGCGCTAAACATATTCGCTAGGTGTCAGATCACTCAAAAATCAATCCACAAAGCCGATTCCTTAAGAATCTCTGCTAGACTGCCCGCCAGTTTAATCGATTACTACATCAAAATTCACCTATAAGCGAAGCAGGAGCCTAGTATCGAGTTCGATCTCATTATCAGCTGGCTGGCAGTCAAACTAAAAAGCGAGCGAAAATATCATTCCCGAAAAAACTCTGCTAGATCGCCTTCGACATAGCTGAAAATCGGCATATGCTGTCCAATTACGACACGAAAATCGCCTCGCCTAATCGATTACGACATTAAATTCAGGTGAAAACCCACATTTTTTCAGGAACAATCACGTGCCAGACATTCTGGGGTCGTTTTATGTCAATCATCTACGCGTCAATAGGTGCGTATCGTAGCGTACCCTAGCATCTCCCTTCAGGTATCCCCCTAATGCTGGTGACATTGGGTGATGTGGGTGAATGGTTCCAAAAGATTGTCACAAAAGCCTATGTATGGGTGTTAGTACGATACAAGTGAGTACTCCACAATACACCTTACACCCTCTAACTGTCTATAGGAAAGTACGGAACCAGGCGATAACGAGACCGTTGGAGGAGATCTATCTGCCTATCTATTATGCACTCGGCATTGTTACTGTCTATATCCTATTGTGTACATTAATTATAAAGGTCTCTTTTTTAATTTCTAGATTAGAAAACAGTTAATTTACTCTTTTTAAAGGTATCAAAACGTATATTAACATTTTTAAAGGGACGGTAAAGGCAGGGCTATGGATTTCTGGCGCTTTCGGGATCCATAAAAAAGCCGTTCGCCTTGTCCGTCCCTTTACAAAGGCCAATCTGATCTAAAAAATCCAATTTTTTTAGGAATTTGACCGCCAAGAAGGCAACAAACCGGGCATCGATTTCGGGTCGGCGCTGTATTTCGTATTCATATCCCTAACGACTATTGGATTGGGAGATGTTATGCCCTATAATATACAGGTAACAGTTACCTAATAAATTAATAAAGCAAAGTGTAAGTCGTCTTAGAACGAAAAAAGCGGCGACAACGCCAAGAAACACCTATCGTAATGCATTAAAACCAATACTAAAATTCTATAAAAACTCTGAAATAACTACCGGAATTTTAAGATTCTAGCAATACCTATAGTAATCTATTAAACCCAGTAAAAACTATTTCCAGTACTCCCCGTTCCTGTCTGCAGCCTTCCTGCTGGGTCTAGCCATGGTCTCTATCGTCAATACCTCCATCTATGCCGTCCTCTATGAAATATTCTTCGAAAGAGTCGAAAAAGCTGAGAATTGTAAGCTACCTAAACCCTAATAATAGAATTTGTTTATTTTTCTAGGGCTGGACCGTATCCACCGCCAACATAATAAACCAGAGGGATGGGCCGTATTCTGTGAATTAGAGCCGGCATTCAGAACTCTCGCTCTATCATTCCCACATTCTGAAAAGACTGAACAACAACGACTAATGACCATATTGAATCATCGAGATGGGGGGAAGGGATAAGAAACCCGGTACGTTGCAGAGACCATTTGGAAATGGCCAAAATTCAGTAGAAACGAGAATTTAGCGTTTAGAATACCGAAAAACCCGTTAAATTATACAAAAATCCATAAAAACTAAAAAATTGCCGTTTAGACATCAGCCGTGGAATCGCGGGAATGTTGGCAAAAACGCTGTGGACGACGGCCAATCTATCGGATTATCAGGATGCGCCAAGTAGGCCTAACGCTAAGTTAACATATACAGGGTGTCCCAAAAAAACCACCCCTCTGGAATTTCCCCGTATTACATCCGATCGGTCCGAAATTTGGACCAGAGGTGTATCAGACCCTAAATAACCACAATCCTGAGTTATAGCCCGATCGCTACAGTAGTTTTCGAGTTATCGTCAAATCACTGTTTTTTACGCGGTTTAACAGTTTTTTCGGCTATCTTTTTGGACTTTGCATCGATTTGCATCGACTTCCGGCTGCGAATCCCTAATTTCGATTAATATCGGGGGTGACTTTGCGTTACAAAAATTGTTGAAATCAACGGTTATTTCACTAATTTTTATCAGAAAAAATCTCGAGGGGTAAAGCAGGCCTGCCGCTTCATTTTCATTTTATATTCGAAGGGTCGATTTCGACGAAAACCTTATGAAAAACGGATAATAAAGTTTATTTTTGTTGTATCTCGAAGATTACTGTAGCTGGCGGGCCATAACTCAGGATTGTGGTTATTTATGGCCTGATACACCCCTGGTCCAAATTTCGGACCGATCGGATGTAATACGCCGAAATGCCGGAGGGGTGCTTTTTTATGGGACACCCTGTAGAGTACATTGCAAAAACGCAACCCAAAAACCTCCGAAAAGACTTGAAAATTACGAAAA